AACAGTGAGACGCCGTTGATCATTACTTGTCCTTCCTCATCAATTCATACAGCTCACCCAGTGCGACCCTATGCAGCATGCAGCAGTGAGATTTCACTGTCACCAAGAAGACTACAACGAAATTAGTCGCTTTTTGAATCATTAGGTCACTTATCACCCTCTTATCGGTTGTTATCACTTTTGATCACCCGCTATCCGTGTTCCCGTCCCATCCCCTATACCACATGTGAGAGCCAAGGTTCCAATGTCACCGCGAAGGGCCGCAACGAAACTGGTGGTATCCACACTTTGACGCCCCTTATCAGTTCTTATCAGTTGCTACCAATTTCCTTCACCCCTCTCAACAGGGTGAAAATCGTGTCGAGTACGTGGTCGCAGAAGTACGACCCCCCCCCCCGAAATCGAGATCCTGGCACGACCCCCTCTAACAGAGCAAATTAATTCAATTAAAATAAATCCTGCAAAACAAATCAAAAAAAATCTGCAAAATAATGTTATGGACGCCTCATCTTGTCATCTATGCACTGTCTTTCATCGCTGCACACTTTTGTGTATTTACTGAAATATCGACTCGAGGAAAGAGGCATTAACTTTGTGTGACCTCAAGGCGAGGTTCGTTCAGAAACGCACAGAAATCCTGAAGACACGGGGTTGCGATTCAATCTTGATTCTTGCTTGAGTATATCAAAACAGCCGAGTGTATCAAAGGCCGATTCAACGGCAGCTGCGGCGCGATTGTCACTGGGTCAGATTTGCCGAAATTTCAAAAAAAAAACGTCCGAATCTACACCCTCGATGAAAAGGTTGCATTCCTCCATTTCACAACCTTTGAAGCAGCTTGAGGTAGAGTTAGATAGAGCTGGATTTCGCGTTTCCAACAAGCATCGAAATTGCTCTGGAAGCCTTCCTTGCAGAAAGATAGGGTCTGTCAAATTTCGTCGAGTAAATGTCGAGGAGGCCGAAATTTTCACGCGAGTTTTTGCCACTTCAAGAGCAATATATCTCTTATATTGTAAGATCCTGAAAAAGGGAAGATAGTTCTGGAAAGCGTTTGCGCTCCCTGGTCTGTTTAGTTTTCTTCTACAGCTTTTTGGTTGAAGAGATAATTGCGTCGAGGATCTATCGAGGTCGGATCCGGCCACCTGGAAATCCGCTCCCTCATTCACCATTGCAAGTGTGACTCGTTGGCAACACTCGGAATGTGTCTAGAACAATATCTTTGAACGCAAACAATAAGAATAGGAGCAATCGTCATCATCCGATTTGGTATTGGTATAAGCCATGCATCCCTCCTCCACTCACAGTTGCAGAATCGATTGAAAGGTGTTATATGATGGGGCCTTCGAACGAAACTGTATAGACATAGTGTGTTGTGCTATTCCTGTAACCTAAAAAACAACTTCATTTGCCCAGCGCTTTTTCTTCACGGTTGTCGTTTTTCCGACAGGGTCCCTAACAACAGCGTCATTCTCAGCGAGGTATTAAGGGAGAAGGAGCGAGTGATAGGCGGAGGAGGTGCCTTTGCAGCGCGTGCGCACATGTGGCACTCTTCTTTGCGGGGATGCACTTTCATTCTTTGTACTGCCTTCAAATACGCCCTTCTCATGAAGGTGGAGGAATGGAGCGACTGAACCTGCAAAGAAAATTTAATATCATGTTTTTTCAGATGTTTTCATTTTCTGCTGCGCTATACCCTATTACCTATCTGCACCATGATACCACTTCTGTTACTGACCCCCAAGAGTACGACCCCCCATGGACCAGCCCAACAGGTACGACCCCCCTGTCGAGGATTTCCTCGACCGATATCACCCTGGATTTGAGATCTCAATCCCGCCTTACCCTTACGTAACAACAACAACAACACAATCACCTTCTTTTGCTATCTGTTTGGGTCCCTTCCCGCACCAAAAAGTTCTTATTTGTGCAAACTTTCCAATGTCAACGCGAGCGAAATCAGTACCCGCCACTCATCATCAATGTCACTTCAAGCCCATATACGTCCTTTATGTTTGAGCGCTCTGGGACAAAAAGGAAAGAAGTTATAGATTTCCGGTCGAACACACACGCACACAACCGCTTATCAAATTAACGATAGTAAGATCCACCATTTTCACTTAGTAGCCGCTGAAAACTCCTCTTCCACGTGCGATCAAATTACCGTGACCAATGCCTTCGAATGGTTAGCCTTTTCCTGGTGCCATGGTCATGCCAATTAGAGGTACGGGCGAGCGCAGGATGACAGCCCATTCAAACCCGTCTCCCGTTACTCGAAAGGCTCGTTGCATCCAAAACTGTTGAAGCTAACGCGTACAGTACGAATTTCCAGTGGACCAGAGCGGTAGAGTTAAAAGAATATTGGTTGAAAGATATCAAATATAATTAATGAAGGCTTCCACGATAAGAATGAAGGCCGCAGAAGGGGAACTTCACGTAGTGGAGAGACAGGTGGACCCCCTAAGCCAGTGGATCAGCGCGCAACTCGCAGCGAGGGATATGGCCCTTCGATCTGGAATGGTCTTCCCTTCAGCGCAGTGGTCCGGAGCAGCTATGGACAATCTAATCACTCTATACGCAGCGAGCGATTATACAGGGTGCGCCAAAATTACGGAGACAGCACTTCCGCGCACTATTTGAACCACTATTCAAAGATGCTGTTTACTGCTGCGCTCATTTTGGTTTTGTTGTGTTGACCTGTTCATAATTATCTTGTTTGACCACCAATATGTATGATTGTTACGATGGCTGAATGATTCTGCCGCTATTTCTAGATCACTGAACTTCAACTTTGAGTGTTTGCGGCACGCAAGAATTATCAGCGTTTTGGTTTTTTACCTGGGTACCAATCATGGATCCACTAAACGCTCCAAGGAGTAAGGAACCGAATGCACTCATTCTGGATGGGAAGGCTGTGTTTCCGAGACGGCCACGAGCAATGTCAGCATGGTGCGCAACAGAATTTGGTGGCACTTCGCGCACTCGTTCCGCCGAATGTCACGAGAGATGGACATTAAGGAGATTACTTGAGAATTCCCAAGCAAATTGCCATCTTAAGATTTAAAAAACATTGTTTGATCTTTCATAAGGAAGGGATTTCCATAGGGCAAGGGTGGTGCTGAACTGGGTCAGAGCCAATTTTGTCGAATTCATCACTTTTAACGAGTTGGTCAGCATTTCAGATTCTATATAAATGGCTTACACTGTAGAATTGATTCTGCAAGCTGAAACTTGCACGGAACTTTACATTTTTGGGGATTATTTGAAGAATTGCTTCAGAATACGTAGAACGGATTCTACGCACTACCTTGCGTGCCACCGCCGATGGTTCCTCACTGCTTCTCAAGGCCCGTATAAGTGCCAACGAAGGAATTTCTGAGATTTGGCAGATGTTTACGATTTCATTATTGAACAGTGAACGTTACTTGCATTTTTGCTTTCCTGGAATTGTGGCGTCGTTTCATTCTAGGTACGATCGAAATCTCGGTCTCGTAATTTTGGCGCACGCCTGTTATATAGCAGAGACGGATCGCTGACATTGAAGAGAACCCAACAGTCAGTGCGGAAATCTACGGTCGAGAAAGAAGTCTCATTTTTTAGGTTTCGAGCCGTTTCACATAGTCTCTTCTTCATCCCCTGCTTCACTAACACCTCTAACCCTTTTTGCAGTGATCAACCTTTTCATTGTAAAATCCGCCTTCAGGTTTTCGCGCCTATACAGTAATGCTAAGAACCTCCTATGAACTTCATCTCGTTTTCGGATAGAACAGACGTCAGATGGGAGTGATCTTGTTTGCAGAACTCTTCTGCTTTATCAAAAGTCATACCAACATCACGCATCCATGCCACCTGGAAAAGACCGCAGTGAAACTAATTATTCTATTAGAAGTAGCTGTCAAACTTTAATAGCGTACTCCGCTGGCTCACTTTGACTACTTCTTCATTGTCGCTGCCGCGTAGAGCGACCCATTCACCCTCCTTAGCTCTTGCAACCGTGTTGTCGTCGATGTCGGAGTGGCAGACCGGATAGAAGCTCCATAGTAGCAAAAGGCAGCAATGAACATAATAGAGCACCATCATCACTCAACAGACAAAAATGACTCAGCCCCAGTCTCCCGGCTTTTATAGTGTTCCTTATCACGATGACCACCACGCCTTATCAGATGCTTGCTTCGACCAGCAAAAAAAGTGTATTGTTCTCGTTTTTCATAACCAGTTTTGCTTCGCCCGCTATCGCGCGCATCACACGGCAGGCTTTAGCGAAACTGGAGGACCCATGGAATATCAGCATGAGGTACTCCATTAACCACCTCACTATTGAATGTGTTAGACCTTTCCCAGTTTCGCTGAAGTCGAGAATACGCGTGATAACGTCTGGAGCTGAACTGGTATTATCTCACAACTGTAAACATCCAGCATTCTTCTTGAATTCAGATAATTTAGCGGTGAATAGGATTGCTGTCAGTCTCAAAATGAAAATGAAATATGCCTATTTACATAAGTGAGGAGCTAAGGCTTATCATTTATTTGCTCTGCTCTGGTGTTAGCTCGAGCTGGGTAACGGAATCAACGATTTTTGCGTCCTGATGCCCCTTATCAGCCCTTATCAGCTGCAATCAGTTCCAATCGCCCTTGAATTGACTTGACTTTATAGTGCAATGATGTGAATCACAATGTTTTGGGGATCACGGTGCCTGTGAATGGAGAGGTGGGCGTAGCCAATCATGAGGCTTGCTCTGGCCATGAGCGGGCACGATGGAATGGGATTTCCATGAAGAAGTGCATCTCCAGCGGGTTGTTGGGTGTGTCACATCCAGGGGCTAATTCAAAAAAAAGGCCACGCTATTCGATGCGCAATGGTCGAAAACCTTAGGGTGTTGAAATCTCAGCCCCATCCAATGTGTATTACTCCCAAAGGAAGGTTTTGAGTGAAGATGTTCATCTCCAGCGGGGTGCTGGGTATGTCGGCTGGCACTGCCCATCTTGAAAATCGGGCCACGCTATTCGATCGGGCGTGGCCGAAAACCCTCACGGGCCCGAATTTCGGCTCGATCCGGTGCGTTTCCGGTCTTCAGGAAGGTTACAACTAATTCACCTAGAATTTGCTCAATTAATGCGTTTACTTTGTCGCATCAGAAGTGACCTGGCGAATAACGACCACTTTGTTCAGATTTCTTCTCAGTGGCACCGTGCCAGTCGCGGGGTCGCTGGAGTGTGGATCGTCTTCAAATAAAAAGAGGGAAGCCTGAGCAGAGGTAACCAGTGGTGCACCACGGATTGAAAGCATGCATTCAACTATCTTTTGGCTAATCTTGCATGTTGCTTGGCGCGTGGAAGATCGAGAGGCTCAGAAATAGGTTTCGAAGAAATTGGAATCCTAGCCAAACACAGCAGCAAGCAAACTAGGTGGTTACCCTTTCGGATAGGCGAGATTGTGTGCTGACGAGGGAAAGCGCTGAACTCCCCCTGGAACTTTGAGTTGAGATCTGGACATAACGACAGAGCCTGGGATAATGGTTGAACTACGGAAACCAAAATTGCAAAATTCTGCCAAGGAAGTTACGAGCAGTCAAAGTTGGCTGCAAATGAGCGTTCTG